GATATCCTTACGAAATGGTGCACTTAAAATAGGCAAAAAACATTTACAAACACTTTACTAGTCACACATCATCCAAATACAGATGCAGGGGATTTTTTGAGAAAGGTCACAGCACTTGCTCACGTGGTGGTTCCCCTCAAACACATCTCAGTGAGAACAGCTCTGCGCACCTTTTATAAAATCCAGCCTCAACTGTGTTATCATATAGAGATGTTCTGAGGTCAAGCTACCCTCCACAGTCGGCATAAAGACACAAACTGGAGCCAAGTTCAACCAGCTTCTTCAAAATGTGCTTGATTTTAAAATTCTTCTCCAACTAGGGCTTGTGGCCCTAGTTTGTGGAAAAATCCTTACACATAGCAATCCCCTTCTCCCCTTCCTTCTCATTGAAGACTAAATCACTGCCAGCATGGACTACTTGCTCAAGTCAGGGTGGTTTCACTGGGTTTCAGTACTGGCTTTGAGACAAGCAGAAGCCTATGTTCACATGAGAAACAAAACGGCCAATTTTTTATAGTTCTGTATGCAAACGGGGAACTGCACAGACACTTGTGCCATACAGGTTTTCCCAGGCATCTGAAACTTTTTCATGGCATTAGTACAGTGACTACTATTACTACTATTAATCCTTCCAAACGCTTCATTAGAGAAAGGCCTGAGAAACTTATGGCACAGTTTCAGTCTTAACAAAAATACCATAAAGGAAAAGATTGTCTGTGTTCTTATTCACTGAAAAATCAAAATATTTTTTTTGTTCATTTGGAATTACTTCTGAAGAACTTCTATTTTTATACTCCAAACCTTTCAGTTAACAGTTGGAGTGACCAGAGCACAGGGAGTTATGTTTTTTTGTGCAATGCAGGCTCACTTTTTTTCCTGCTAGCACTAGGCAATGACACTAATCTCTGAATATCACACACAAACCACAACAGGTAAAGGGATCTTCTGTCCCTCCCATCTAGCTGAGAGAAACATGGATTGAGCCTCTCTGCACTTCAGTAGTTACCAGCTGCCTTCCTGACCTGCTTGGGCTGGCAGCAGCAGTGGGTGATAGACCTAAAGGTTTTCAGACTGCTCCATCCAAAGCTGGGCAAATAGCCTCTCTTCGGGCTGCTCAGAAGCAGGACGGTCCTTTTATTCCTTCATGCTCATAGTGACACTGTGGCTATAAACCCTGCTTAGCACAGGCAGCCTGACATGGCGAGTACTCATAACAGGAGTGGTAGATAAATTGTTTATATACATAAATAGTTTTCAAAGCCACATCCCTTTTCTTCAGAGAAAAAGTTTCACATTCAACTAAAAGTTTATTTTCATTTCATTTAGTATAAGCTATGATCATGTGGAAAACCCAAACACTAGTATGCAAGTATCTAAACAAATGTACCCTCATCTGCAAATATTAGCTTCATTTTATTCTATCAAAATAATCAGACGTACTGACATTTTATGGGAAAATTATCTCTACAAAGTATTTTTCACATGAAAATATATATATATAAAATCTTTTTCTATTCTTTACTACCAAGAATTTAATTGTATGGTTCAGGATGTTTGCTGTGAAAGCAGCCTTCTGCATCAGTAGAGATATTTCCTTTGACACTCTAAAGCTCAGTGAAATACCCACAATATCCCAAAAGCTACACAGAATTCATCTTCAGTTTCCAATACAGTAGCAGAATTCTTGCTATATTAACTGAAAAGATCATCAAAGGTCAAAAATTTTGATGTACTTAAGGACACGTGCAGTTTTTTCATCAAAATCAATGTCCAAGTACTCCCAGTAATAGCAGAAGTGACATTTCATTTCAGAAGAATGTTTTCACATTGTTCTGCCCTAGTCACAATTAGTAGCTACTATCATTTTAACAGCTAATAGCAGTGGATACATGAAGAATTGTACCAGCTACAAAGTAGTAGGCTGAGATTTTTGTAGTGGATAACATCATAAAAACACAATAAGTATTTTTTCAATAGGTATATTGTTATGCTGGCATAAAATCTTGTCTATTCATATGTCTTCCTATGTGTTCTGGTAAACCATATCAGTTAATAACTGCAAAAGATCCTGAGTCATACAAAGGCTAATTAGAGACACAGGCCTCATCAAATCTCTATAAAATGACACCCAGGGCCTGGGTGAGGTCCACATCCACACTGGATACCCATTTTGCAGCACCCCCTTCTCACTAAAAAGGGCAAAATTAAATCCTGGATTTGAAAATTGCTGCAAAATTTGGGGGTTTTGGCTTCCTAATCATAATACAAATCATAAAAATGGGTCCCATCTTGAGATAAGGACAAAGGAAAAAAAGGACTGGTAAAGGAGAAAGAAAATCAATAAGATAAATAGATTTTTCTAAGCAGACTGTATTAGAGTTTTCTATGAGGTATCAACTATTCTTTAACACACAGCTGTGAGGAACTTGTTATTGGAAAAAAGTTTCTAAACACATAACTAAATGAAGGAGAGTTGAGTATTGTAGAAAAAAGTTATAGTGGTTTTTTTGATTTAATCCATTTAAATTTAATCCTGATTCAGTGTGAAACAGTAAAATACAAAATATAAAAAATAAAAGAATTGGGAATTATAATGGAAGGGCCAGCTCAACCTTCACTACAGTAGTAATACCAACTGTGTGAAGCGAGCCAACATTACTAGAATACAACAATTATAACCAATACATCAATACATATGTATAATAGATACATTTAGGGCTTGATATCTGTGGTGGAACAGTTGCTCAAGGCCACTAAAATATTAATTTACATCCAACACCAGCTAAATGTGCCAGAATGTCAATTCAGACGAGCAACAGTGGAAATTCCTGTGCACAGTGCAGAATATACAGACAGAAATAAACTTTTGACTTTGGAACATACTTTTAGCCTGCCTTTTGTCAGTGGAAAGACCAGAAACTTCTGTGTGCATCCTGGAGGTATGTGATTTAATCTGTGGAGCTGAAAAAAGAAAAGTAATCAAAGACAATCTTGAACAGAACTGCAAAGACACAGATCATTATGCACACTTCTTCCGAATTGTCAAAGCAATTCATGTTTGAGGACTTGGTTTTCTGCACATTCTTTGGATATCATCATTTTGGCCTTTGTTACAGGGTAAAGGTTATATTAAATAATATTTGGCTTCCGTTTTTATTATAAAAATTTGCATGTGATTTTCTTCAGTAGAAATTAAAAATGTGATGCTACATACTGGCATTGAGGTTGAGTTTGGTCAACCACATAAAATAATACTTTGCACTTTTAAATGCCTTTCATCAGAGGATATTCAAATGCTTTGCTAACATTAGTCAAGCCTCACAACACCCCTGTGAGGTAGGTAAAATATATAGGAGGAGGAGGATTTCACTTAACTTGGACATAATGTCTCCAGGCATTAAGTTCACTAGCACCGCAACATAGCACAAAGGTTTAGGGCTTACTATAAAGTAAAGAATTAACAGTACAAGGGCACAGGATTGCCTCTTCTTTTGGCTATGTGTGATCAAGCCAACATGCAGTGCCACACAGCATCAAACAGTGGAGCAAATGCCCACACAAGGATATTATGCGCCCAATCCACAAACAGCACCCTCTGCACAGTCAAAGACACAAAACGACAAACACAAGATGGGCACAGCAGCTTAGCTATGTCATGTGTCTACCAGTTCTTGAGGAGCAGAGTATCATGGGAATGAGAGCCCAGAAAGCAATACTGTCTCCACATGACTCTGATAACATCTGGAGATTCTTGGGTTTTGTCCCTTTTGCACTAACGTTTCAATTCACAGCTTACTGGGGATAAGCAACTGCAACCATCAAGCCTGTTGGTAACTTCCACACCTTGTGAAGGAAACAACCAGATAAAACAGCCATTCTCTACCTTGGCTGGCCACATGTTCCCAATGCACAGGGCCATGACATGGTCAGATGATTGTGATCAGCTCAGATGGGATAAATGAACACTGTCATACATCTGCAGTCCCTCTCTGAAGCTGCTGCAATCTGTCTCCTGACAACTCCCTCTAGTTTTGTGGGTTTTTTTCTCTCCACAGGGTAGTCATGGGAGAGTATTTGGCTCCCCTCACTTTTACCCTCAACCCTTAGCACCAATGGTGCACATAACCATTGTACAAGTGGCAGTTCCACTGTGTCACATTGATCTTTCAGATTAAGGGCTAAGAAAAAAGAAACAAACATATGATTAAGAAAAGCATCACTCATCTACAATAGTCCATGTGAAATACAAGGAAAAAGAAAGAAAACAATACTCTTATTATTAGCCAGTACAAATACACACACACTCCTCCCTCTCTTTCTCAACATTTCACTTGTCTAAGGTGGCATAAATGGTACATTCCATATTTGCAAAAGTATTGCCCTCATAGAGAATTTGCCCTGTCTAGCATAATAAATCACTACAGAGGCTGGTCTACTACATGCAAGACAGCCTCCTTGGGTAATTTTATGTCTTTGCATGCAAGATATTCTCCCTTTTTGCTAATTTCCATTTAAATCTCATGTTTATTTATAATATTTGACCCATTGTGAGTATCACTGTCTTGTAAAAGAGCTGAGAAGAGGTGGTTCATGGATTCTGATAAATGGATGGAAAGTTCCCCTCCAACCCTGCATATGTTCATAGCTAAAACTATGCTGTTCCACTGATCAGCAGCAAATAAATTTATATGATTATAATGTATGGATGATGTCCATCTCATTTTCTCTCTCTCCCTCCCCTCCCTGCCCTTTTCTCTTTCTCCTCTCTATATATATTCTCACTTATTTAAATGTGGGAATATGGAGGCTGCAGATACTGGCAACTCAAAAACTAAGCTGGCAACTTTGTAATCATTAAAAGACAATCAGAGTGGTGGACTAATTGGCAGCTAGCAGGAAAGCTGACTTTACATCTCATATTGCCTCAAGCTGAAAGCCTCCTTCATTTCCTTTTCCTTCTTTCTTTTCGTCCATATCAATGCCGATTGTCGTAAACAGTCTTTGTGCTTTGTATAATGCCCATCTTTGATGTAACTGGAACTCACATACAAAATGTGGCTGTTATACATAAGCATGCTAGAATACAGGCAGGGACAGTACAAGCATGCACAAAATAGTCTGTGAAGGGTTTTTTTTGTTTGTTTTTCTTCAACATTTACATGCACCAGTTAATATCATGTTTGGTTGCGTACACCGAGGGCTGGATTTCACAAGCATTCATGATCTTCTCTTCTTAAAAGCTTCTTGACAATTTCACAGGAGCCCAGTGTAAAAAAAAAAAAGTCCCACAGTTTAAAAAAAAAAAAAAAAAAGAAAAGAAAAAACCTTATCCCTGCACTCTGATCTTGTCTTCCTGATTTTAGTGCTGAACATTTCTAAAATGTCTTCTCCTCCTCTTGCAGAGCTTCATGTTAAATGGTCGGCTGGAAAGACAGATTAGTGTGTCAAGGATTTTCTTAGCCACTGGAAAAGTTCTTCCTTGTAAAGTCTTTGCCACCTCACATTGGCTTCCACTGTTTCCACAGCGCGAGAGAAAGAGGCAGCAGCTCCCCCTTCGTAACTCTTTATAAAGTTCTTTAGCTGGAAATACAAGTTAACAGGTTAAATTTGCAGGAACTACAGCAAGTAAATATTTCCAGTGCACATAAACAAGTCAGGCATTTAGGACAAACCTCCACGACCACTGTAGTGTAGTAAATGTAGTATCATGTAGAAAGATTTAATTGGAAATTTAATAAGAGAGCAGACTGTCAATTAGATGTGATACAATTGCTTCAAATTGCACTGGAAGATATTGACATGTCAATGCCAGATCACATTAATATCATTACCTCCTTCTAGCCTGCAGCCCAGCTGCTGCACTCTCGAGACAGCTGCGCTGCTCTAAACTTTTATTTCTACCTAAGAAGCCAAACTGGTAGCACTGGAAACGCTTCCAGTTCAGGTTTATATGTAAATATCATCAGAAGGCAGCCCAGATGCCCTTTGGTTTTATCAAGCTTCACAACAAATTTATTTAATTTTGATTTGCAGAACCCTTTTGATGATAAAATAGAGGTTGCTTGTTTAGAAAAAGAAGGGATGGCTACAGTGTGAAAAGAATAACAAAATAGCAACTTATTTGATGATCTTTGAATGCCTGAAGCAGATTCCTTCCCTTATGAGAAAACTTTTCATTCTGCTGAAAAAAGATCAAAGGCCCCTACTCTGTTCTTGTGTATACTCAAATAATAGCACTATCACCTGGATTATTATAGATGATGGCACTGATGTGGTTTGAATTACTCTCCTTTTTAAGTGAGAATTGCAAGGCTGGTGTGCACAGTAGGTTGCTGGTTATATTGACTTATAAAATTAGGTGGGTTTAGCAACACTTATTCGTAACTAGTAAACTTTTGTTACCTGGTGACACCAATTTCACCTCGCTTATGGAAATCTAACTTCCAACAACAGCTTTTTATGCATGGACTCAACACTGAAAAGGCTGATACTGCACCTATCTCATTCCCATCAGAGTTAAAATATGATAGGGACCTGGAAACTATTAAAATTAGACTTTACCTGATCTCTGTACTTTTTTATACCAAAAAGTTTACTAGGGCAGTTTCATTTAGGGGAATTATAAACAGGGGGCCTGCCAATAATATCATGGAGGTGGAAAAAAAGAGTACAGAAGGCTTCCTTGTGCAGGGCAGATACTCAAATCTGTCCAGCATTGTCCTTCCCACCAGGGTAGCTTTGAGGAAACCAGCTGGCTCTTCCCTATGTTCCTGCGGCCACTAGACTTGAGTGCATGCAAATGGATGGAAACAAAATATCACAGTGCAATCAGAGTTCAATTAATGGTGATTATGCTGCTTAAGAATCATTTGATCCATTTGGGGTAATGTCAAGCAGCTGCTAAGCACAATATAACACAATCACACAAATACCTCAGTCAGGCCAGATGTTAAGTTAAAATGAGAAATCTTTGCAATCTAAATAAGAAATACTTATTATTTAGAACAAATTACTGGGGTGTCATTTGGCCAGAATATCAGATTAACAGCTCTTCTCATATGGAAATACTGTAGGCAAAGGAAAAACAGAGAAGGCAATAACAGCTTTTACTTTCAACTCTGGGGTTTTCTACAGCTGCCCTCTGCAGCATAACCTAATGTGGATAGGAAGATCTCATCTTTAGTTTCTCAACCAATAATCAAGAGAAAAAAAAAACAAACCTACATATCCAGCCAAACACAGAGAAGTGCCTGCACCACCCAGCTGCTGACACCACCTCTATGCAATTGAGTGCCTTTGCAATCTGCTCCTCATCCTCACACTGCCCAGCTGCAGCATAGGCCTGTGACTCCAGCTGAGCAGACAGAGTCCCCAGACAACTGACATCTTTTTTCTACTGCCCTGCTCCATGCTTACAACACATGTAGCTTCACATGCCAAAAGTAATTTAAAAATTACCTCCCTTAGTTCTTCTTCAGTATTGAGGAATTCTGTGACCCCACTTACAAGCTTTGAGTTCATAAATAATGCTTCTCCATACCTGCAAGGGCAAAAGGAAGACGCACAAAGAGTTAGTGCAAGTGCCAGGCCAGCTGAAAATTACAAAGTAGTCTTCTGTTTAAGCAAGGGAGAAGATGTAGGGCCGATTCTGGAGATCTAACAGAATAACACGAGAATTGGACACTGGTATTTCAATGTTTTGTGCTAAATACTGGACTGTGTCTAGGCTGAGCTAGTTCATAGAATAATTGAGTCATTAAGGTTGGAAAAGACCTCTAAGATCACCAAGTCCAGCCGTCAAATCAACACTACCATGACCACTAAACCATGTCCCAAAGTACCACACCTACACATTTTTTTAACACCTCCAGGGATGGTGACTCCACCACCTCCCTGAACAACCTGTTTCAATTCCTGATTACTCTTTCAGTAAAGAAATTCTTCCTGATATGCAATCTACACTGCCACCCCCCCGTGCAACTTCAGCCCATTTCCTCCTCATTGAATTTTAGTCAGGTGATACTTGTCAGAATGGGCTTAGCTGCAGCTGATCGCTTCAGAGGAGAGGACCAACCCACAACACCTCATGCTTAATGAAACAGCTTTCTATGTAATGACACCAAACAGCTCAAAATAAAGGAGCCAAAGAAGAAGCAAAGCAGCAACTGTGGAGAAGCATCTTGCGAAACTCTTCTAGCTGTACCATTAAACAGACTTTTTTTAGTGCTGCAGCCTTCTCTGCATTTTGTATTCATCCACCTCATCTACATTACAAACAGCCTCTCGATAAGTGAACTGAATCAAATTTTCTTGTTCCAGTACCTGATAATTAAAATGAATAATACTGATAGAGAATAATACTGCTAAAATAATCCCCTGGGTCATGATGTAGCTTCTTCAAAGAACCAACCTGGAATGAAAATTTGAAAGCCTGGGCAAGGAATATTTAAAGGGTAGGACATTCAGCAGCCATCAGCAATGACCTTCTGCAGGTAGCTGGTTTGAAACTGGCCATTTGAATTCTGCTGTTCCACTTGCATTTCCACAAGTTTTTTCCAATCCCCAAAATGAGGCACCTACATCACTTATAAGATTAATCAGACTACTCCTAAATTTGCATTTCATGTTGGAACAGTTTGTGGGTTGTTTTGGTTTTCTTTTTTCAAAGTCCCTATCATGAAGAATATCGTTCCATTGGAAACCAAAAGCAAGGCACTTGTTCATGTCATTCAGCACAGCAAAAGGCACTTGACAAACTGTTATCCTTATCTTTATCTGCACATGCACCCAAAGCAGTATCTAGCTAATCTGAACATGACTGTTTTTAAGATAGGGGATCCAGCTCTCCTGTCAGACATGTGTAAGTAATACCAATAGACTTTACTGCAATTAAGTTTATCTAGGGCAACAATTCAGTTCATACTCCACTTTTACAAACTCAATTAGAGAAGAAATTCAAAATTTCAAGTGAAATGAACTAGCATAGTCACAGCTTTCTGTTCTGCTTCTATTAATCTGAAATTAACTATCCTTAGGTACTGTAAGCTGTAGTCCTTTCAAAAGGGAAAAAGAAAGAGAAAGGGGCATGGATAGTCACAGGGAAAGTGACAGAAAGAGGGAGGGAGAGTGAAGGTTCCATGGAAAGGAACAGAAAAAGGCAGAGGGAAGAGAACTGGGTTTTCTCTGAGAAGACTCTTTTAGGGAAGCTGTACACTTTGTTGCTTGTTACCTTGAGCTTGTGTGAGAGGAAACACACAATTATAGGTATCAAAAATCCTACTCTCTGACTATTAATAACTGAATTACTCATGGATATTTCAGCAAGTACATCTCTTTTTTCAAAACTTCAGTAACACTGACATATACAGACATCTAGGGGCAAACGCCTCCTATGGGAAGTATACATTTCATGGTCCTTTAAGCATGTTTAGGGTTTTTAACAAAGTCCTTTATTATTACAGTCTCAGCTTAGCTTCATAATTGACTGCTTGGAAAATTGGAAGCTCCTCTTGATGGGGTCTTTTGACAAGGTTACCAATCCACTTTACAGAAGTGACCTCATAAAAACATCTGCAGGGATTCTATTTTTCTTGCAGTCCGTACTGTAGCCACAATGCAAACAAGAAGTAGCACAATTCCCTCCACTGAAAATGATACCTTCATGCATACCTGTGCCAAGTACTCACCATTATACAAACTTGGTAAAAAAGTCAGCCACAGCAATTTCTAAATGGCTTCTGCTGGTAAAAATTCTAGAAAAGCAACCTCCTAAAATAGTATTTTGCAGGTGTGAAACAGAAGAATAAACAGAAAAAGTGTTTGGTCTTGCAAGTATCAATCCTTGTACCCTTCACAGGAAAGACAACAGCACTGCAGAGGCAGGACCTGACCTTGTTCTGAACACCCTGGAAGCATCCTGGAGTCACAGGCTCTCCTTCTGCTCCTTTACTTCTGGGGATGTGAGCCTCCAGCACCCCACATTTGTACAGGCTTTGTGTTTGTGTGCAAACACAACATGAGAGGCACCATAGTCCACTTCCCTTGGACAGATGTAAAGGGCTTCCCAAATATTGTCAAATTCCCAAATGCTGACAAATGATTCAGCACTTGAGAATGAAGGAATATGTTCTTACAGGCAGCTTTTGGATTAAATTTTAACACACAGACACATATGATGAAAATTATTTAGGAGCCAAGGCAGGGCACACTCAGGTGAAAGGAATTCAAGCATAGTATTTTCAGTTCTCTTTTTCAGACTTTTAGCAGTCTTAGTCCCACAGATTTCTTCTGAAAGACTTGTTAGTCACCTCAGTTTCGAAGTCTCCTTTGTAAATGTGACATAAATGATTCTGAAGACTTTATACACAATCAGTGTCTTCTGGACAATGTGAATATCAGCATATGGTAAAAATATAAAGGGAAAACAATATTTTGTTGTCATTCTAACTTTGACATGTTGTGTTTTAAAGTTAGAGGAAATAGTGTTATCGTATAATTCAATCACCCTCAGCTGTTTCATATGACTATCTCAAACGTCAACACCTTTCATAATAAATTCAATACAAAAATAGCATTGAGAAATCACCTATTAAATGAATGTTTCATACAAAGCATTTTGATTGTAAATAAAACTAAATAATACATTTCAGTTGTAGGAAAAGGATGTCTTGGGACAGAGTGCGCCTGAAGTATAATTCTGCAGTAAACCTTGTATTTTAAAAATGTACTAGTGTGGCAAGTTTAAATCGGAAGCCTAATTTTGGATTCTATCACGTCACTTTTTTACTGATCACTGATCAACGCACAAGGTGTTAAGACTAATTCTATCCTCTCAAAGTGTCCCTTAAAAGATTTTAATATATAATTACAAAAATAAGTTATTTTCAATATACATCACATATCTACAGCCTGCATGAAGTATTTCATTTCATGACACTGAATCATTTGGTGACTGACAGAAACTGAACTGGATGTCCTTTTCAGAAAAATGCAACTGCTACACTCTTTTTGGTGGCTCTGACTTGTGTTTGGAGACCAAACTGAATGTAGATAACAGTGTCGGTCAAAGAGACAGACTCTCTATTATTTTCTTATTAAAAATGGACAGTAACAGGTTGTTGATGAGGCCCTGCTGATTGTTAGGAACTCAGATAACACCGTGATTCATTCCAGGCAAGTGAGGTAAATAAAATTCAGATGTTAGGTAAGGTTAAGCTATTTAAAATTAAACAACAAAAAAAAAAATACTGGCATGTGGCACAGTTTTCTAAATCTTGTCCATTTGTCTACAGTGCTTAGCCTCATCCATGTCTAAAATCACAGGTGTTAGCTAGGTTATCAGATGAACATACTTGCAAAGACAGGACACAACTTCTGCATATGTATTTGTAGCAACACAGATTTTGACAGATTTATGTCTAAACTCTGTATAAATCCCTAGAGGAACCTGAAAAACTATTTGCTATCCAGAGCATAACTAACTGCACTGGGCTGCATAATAGTAATGGGTCTGCCATCCATTTTCTGTGTAGAAGCCCAGTTCCTGGAATAACCATAGCAGAAGCAGAGGATTCTTGATTTTTAAACTCTTCATCACTCTCAAAGCTTTTGGAAAATTGCTTTCAAAAAATACGCTCCTGCAATATAAACTTCCAAAACCAATTCCAGCTCAAACCTATTTTCCCAGCTGAAATTCTAAAATCCCACTATACTAAAAAGTGTTATCCAAAATAGCACAAACAACTTATTGACTCTTTAGGAAAGTTGCACAGTCTCTGAGTTTCCTTGACTCTTCTTTTGATGCTGTGAAACCTACAGTTAGTTAGTGCCTATATTCATGAGGCACTATGATTTAATTGCTTAAATACAGCAGCTGAAATATACCATTTCACATATTCTGTGGTACACTAAATAGCTCCTCACAAGTCTAGAATGTAACAGATCTCCAATACTTTTTCTGCCAGCACCATGGGAGTAGCCTGGTATGGGATGTCAGTTTTTGGACATCTGCCTTTAAGAACTAGAACTGCATCTGAGTTGTGGTTCCTTCTATTCTGTCAGTGTCAGATGAGCTGCTGTGAAAACTTTCAGACCCTCAGGCTGCCCCTAAAGAACTAAAGAAGTTTTTCATTCATTGAATTAGTATCAAAATCTTCATCAAAAAAAAATTTTAAATGTTGACTGGGCTTCTGAGTAGGAGCATGTAGCAGTTGTTCAAAAACAGAAGTATGTACAAGGAACAGCCTTGTCTCCTTCCTGTTCATCTATTTTTAATTCAAAATGTTGCTCCTCCATCACCCAAAACACAGAGTGGAAGGCAAGGGGATGACACTGTATTAGCATCCTTTTGAAAATGAAATGTTTCAAAAAGGATTTGGTGTTTTCTTCCATAGTTTAAATAATGTTCTTGAAAAGATGTTTTTTTCTATCAGACAAAATCAGAAAAATTCCTTTGGGAACTGCTGCTTTCTTATCTGTGTAAAAGTAGAACTGCAGCACATGACATATAGATAGAATTCATTATCATAAGCACAGACACAATACAGTAATAGATATATATACACGTGATCCCTAAGAGATAAATTTTCCTATGCATGTGTGTGTTAATCCATGAATAAATACATTTATGACTCAGATGTATGTATCTCATATTTAGAGACATCTCTGTGGATTAAAAGAAAATGCACTAGGTTCAGGAACTTACATGAATACATGTATATACATTACTTACACAAATTACATCAAAATAAAAAATAAAAATAAAATTATACTTTAAATCTTTACCTAGCATTTAATATTTTCCATTTTTCTCTGAAAAACTTCCAAGCAAGATCCCTTCCATGTGGATTTCGAGCTACATGGATTATCACATCAATTGCATCCTGATCCAGGACAACTTCTGAGTTGAGAGACAAATTCAAAAGCCTAATGGGACAATCACGGAAAAAAAAATGCTGTTTAGTTTCACCAACACACTGTCCAACACAACAGTTCTTCAGACAATTCTCAGAAGAAAAAATCACTGCCAAATGGTTTAAGTCTCCAAGTGAGTTCAGTGATTTAATTCTATGATTCCAAAGACCAGACACATTTATGAATCAGAACAATCTTGATGGAAAATTATTTCAGTAAAGCCTGAGTGCAACTTTACACATGCATTTTTATTAAATCATTAAGATAAGGCTGGTCAATACATTTAAATAAAGGACGTTCTAAGAAAAAAAATAACAATTACTATAGGATTTCAAGCATTTCCAATGAACATAGGAAAGTTTGGAAGTGAAGTGTCAATTTTCATACACATTAATGCAACAACATGATTGTTTAAATGACAGTAAGCCTGTGCTTGAAAACCAAAGTTCTTTCATTTAGTCCAAAGTCCAAGTGATGATCCATAAATGTTGAAGTGATTATTGATAATAGTCACATAGAGATATATATATATTTTTGTACCTGTTGAGCAGGTTCCTGTCATCACTGCAAGTTAAGGCTTCTAATAATATTTTCTTCTCAGACACTGCTGTGGTAGAATGAAATTTCATCCAGATGAACTCCCATACATCTTCATCCATCAGTGAAACTCCTGTACAGTAGACAATGTCTCTCACATTGAGTGGGATTCTACAAAAGAAAACAGTAGTGGCATTGTGTTAAATAAGTAGCTTTCTGATAATTGGAAACAAAGGATAAGCTTCACTGTCCTTGTGAGACTCCAAAATTAAAGTGCAACAGTTACTTATTTTTTATTTAATTACATTTGCATCCCTTTACCACTACCAAAATCTTCCAAGCCATCTTAATAGATTTTCTAATGAGTAATGGATGCTTGCCAGTCTTTCATAACATTGTCACACTCTCAGGAGACTGTAAGTTATGGTCATCCAGTTCATCAACACATGATGTGCCACATAACCTGCAGGACAGGTAACATAAGCTCTCCAAATTAGCACAGGATCTTATCACTCTGCTGCTGGGCTCTAAGCCAAATCTCCTCTTATTGTCCTTAGTATTGAGGTTTTAGAACAGGATCTGATCAGTCAGAAACTCCTCCTTGCTTGTGCTGTAAAGTGCTCCATATTCGTATAGTAGCATACAAGTAAGGAAGGATGTGCTGAAACATTGCTCCTTTAAAATGGTGTCTTCAGGAGTTAAGAAAATAGAAAGATGTGTTCATTTTTATGTTCATATTAATACCAGTACAAAACCAGCTATACCATAGGATGGTTGTGAATGTGATTACTGCTCAAGTAATATAAACTCAGACTACAGTTAAATGAAATCTTCTCAAAGCCAAATTCAGACCTAGTATAGAATGTGCATAAAGCATTTTCTTCCAAAGAAAACTAAGCTGGACTTTCAATTTCCTACCCTGCTTATGTTTCCTATACATGCACAGAAGCTGAAGTATTTGTGTGCTAAAGGGTATTCCTGCAGATAAAGCTCACATTTCTCAAGAGAAATACATTTCTGATTTGCAGGAAAAAATGTTCTCTTTTTGTTGGTAAAAATTATCTGAAACCACAGTTCTCTAGTTACGAATAGCTGGGCTGAAACACCTCTGGGACTTCATATACAAGATCTCTTTAGAGAATATAAAAGTACATATAGCTTCTGTCAGCATCTGGGCAGTAATACAGTGGGGCACAATGAAATTCTGTAAAATTTGATATCAAAACTTGCACAACACAGAAAGAAAAGGTTACATCATACTTTAATTATATTCTCACCGAAGTCTTATACCATAGACCGGGCTATGGCGGTCAAGAACAGAAGTCGTTTTACTTCCATCTATTAATCCTCCAGAAAAAAACAAACAAACAAACAAAAACAATACCAAAGAAAACATATATTGATGACTATGAAGGGTTATAAAATGTTGTCTATTGGGTTAGATGGTCCCAACAGCTATGATGATTTCTTGAGAAAAAGAATAAAAGGAATACATATCTAAATTAAGATGAAACTGGAGGAAAAAGTGCGCTTTATCTCCTGCTCACTGAAGAACTTTGGGGAATTAATGCCTACTGCTTTTTTGTTGTTTTGTTTGTTGTTTTTTTTTTTTTCTGAGTAGAAAAAAGTCCTGAGATTGAGGCTTTATTCATGTTCTCTGACAAGTATATTTATCAGCTCAGAGGGTGTGTCTGCAGGTTTAGATGCAAACAGCTACGTGAATGTGACTTCTGCTGACCTGACATGTCTCAGGACAGTGCTGTTTCTTTGAGATTTTTTAGCAGAGTCCTATGCTAACACTGTCACAAAGGGCTACCTTGATTGGTGGTATTTTGCATTTGATGCAGACAAACCCAGAGCAAACTCTACAAAGCAAAACTGGAAGGGGTAGGTAAGAGAAATGTAGTCCATTTTAAAGTTGCTAGGAACATGAAACTTAACAGTGCAGCACACAGCAGCAATATTGCCTTCTAAAGCAAAATCAGAGGTGCAATGTCTCATCTCTGCCATGAATTGCTTCCATCTAGCGAGAGTAGATTGGTGCTACAGTGCAGATGCTGGCATGGTCTGAGATCTTGCTGGTTTGTCTCCTTCCACCACACCAAATCCCTACAGGAGAACATGCCCATCCTGAGCTGTGTGAGACAATCAGCCTTGGTGTGGTTATGATCACATAGCTCAAGCAGTTCCTACATGTCACCAACACATAGATGGGGCCTCAAAAAAAATGTAGGTTTCACAGTTCCTCCCCCTTGATGTTTCCTATCACTTTCTAAGATTATTTCCCTCAATGTTCAGATGACATAAAAAGCTTGGCACTGAAAAAACTTAGTAACTCCTCAGATTTACCCATGATTAGTAGGATTTGGGCTACTTCTATGATTTCAACTGCAACTGCAGCTCTCCCAAAACTTCAGGTCAGCAACTACAGTAACATAAATACACAGCCATATACACATAAATTGCAGTGAACCTGAAAGTGATATTATTTTGACTGTGTCTTGGTTTTCTGATATACTAGGTTATTTGTCCTTAAAGTACAACTTCCTTACCAGTTTATGTCTTTTTTTTTGCTTTTAATTTGAGATGTAATACACAGTCAGCAGTCATAAGAACATACACTAAACCAAAAGGACTAAGGGATACTATCCTGACAGTGGGACCAAATGACCCATTACCTCAAATCTCTCTTATCATATGACATCTGAATATGACTAACAACTGAATCCAGTCAAGCTTTATTTCAGTGAAGGAAGGACTTTGTATCTAGACACACAAACAACAACACCATTTTTCAGAAGAACTAAGTGCCAACACTAGCAGTTTTAGCAGCAGTGCAGCCAGTAACTGCAGGACTATCTGCACACTCTGGGAAGGAGGGAGGACTTAAGACAAGAGATGGCACTGATCCCATGCCCATAGCCTACCTGTTGTAACGCTTCTTGCTAACAAAACTCTATTGCCACCCAATCAGTAATAGCATACTTGCACTGCTGCAGGAGCTCTACTTGGTATCATCCAACCAATTGTCCTAGGGAAGGTTTTAGGTCTCTATCTACCAGCTAAGTCATTAGGAGAACAGGGAAAAAAATCATCCCCTACAAACCAAGATATCAAAACAAATGCTCATTTTGAAGGGCTTAGCTTCAGCAAGTACAAAATTTATGGCTATCAAAAGTAACAAATTACTCCTGTGATTACTCCTGTGTGAGAGGCTTGTAATCAAGACTTTAGACAGGGGGTTTCTTCTTGTGGAAATTAAAATTGTTTATGAAAATGTGAATATCTTCAAAGCAGTTTCTCTTTAACTATTGCCTCAACAGACAGCCCTCTAATTTAATTTTCTCCTCTTGTGGGGATTTTTTCTTTCTCTCTTCTCCAGTCATTATGGGCCTGTACTTCATCATTACCTATGAAATTTCCCCAGTCTACAGATTTTTAAATTTTATAGCTTTATGGAGAATGTTGCTCTAAAACTCCAGTTCCAATGCACTAGATAAACATGGGGAATATTTGCCCCCTGTATTAACTGAATCAAAGGGATAAAATTACCATTGTTTCAGCAGCATTTAGGTAGTAACATTACAGAACATACACTCTTGTTATACCAAACTTCATCTGGGCCTTCAAGGCTGCTCTAATTTTTAAAGAGCTAATATGATTGATGGATACTTCAGAAGAATAAAGATAAAGATTAACTTTTGAAAGCATCACTTCAAATAGCTTTTATTTGAATACTGATCCAATTTATTTAACTTTATTTTTCTTGTTTAGAAGATATGATGGTGAGAATGAAATATGTAGCTAGCAGAGCTCATGTTTAAAAATTAAACACTTTGGGAAAAAACTTAAAAATTAAACAGAAAAAAAATTAATTAAAATCGTGCTGTGCCTTTACAGGGATTTTTTTTCAAGAGTGAATAATAAAGCTCTACAATGAGCTAAGAATAATCTTCTAAGTTATAATTAATTGCTACATACTTGCTCCTATTTAAAGTATGTTCTGACAATTGGAGATACACTTATAAAATTGGACCGTAATTATTTATCTTCTGGGCAAATTGTGTTCTAATTTTTTAAAATGTAATTGCACACAGTTTAGACAGTTCTTTGATTAAGTGACAAATTTCAATATAATTTAGGGTACTATCTGACAAAGAAAATTAATCAGAAATATTATTCTTTATTTTTGCAACTATTTAACATTTAACTTAAGCCTATTTTACTTGATGACTATATTTATAGTCTTGTTTAATAGGTTACAAGGCTTAGATAAGAAATAACAATGAAGTATTTGTACTTAGTCGGCAGATCTGTAATACAGATTCTGTTACAAGGAAAAGCACTGCACAAAGTTTATTCTTCAAGGCTGCAGTCCCAAAGTTTATACTCCCACTCTCTATTACAAACTCCAGAAGCCATGTTGATGGCACCACTGGGCACACAAAGCAGGGGAGGATCCTCTGCCACAGCACACACCAAGTCTGATGAAAAAGGGCAGAACTTCCCCTTGAAAACTGAGGGACAGAGCTGTGATGGGCTTGGCATGCAGGTGGCTGTCACACACTGAATTCAGGGGATATTAGCCAAGGATGTGGCTACTCAGGGTGTCTGTGGCAAAGCTATGCTATGCACAGACGACAGTTCTCCTCAGGCCCAGTCCTGTGCTCCTGAGCTCCAGGTATCACATGGGTCTGGCTGAAGCAGGCAGAGAATACATCAATCTTCAAGCAGTGGTCACTGTCATTGCTCCTGCCCCTTTCTACAGCTGAATGCATGTAACTGAGTATGTGACTAGCACACTCAAGCTCTTCAACATTGATTTTAATGACTGAGTGTTGAGTTAAGCATTTCTTTGTGAGACTAATCTCTGAGTAGATATGTCTTGTTTTGTCCTTTCCGGCCAGTTTTTGCAACAAAAAATATGATTCTTTTTGTGCAATTGTTTTGCAATGTTGTGGAGAGGTCAGTCCTGAATGATAAATTGGAGATTCACAGAATGTTAGGTCAATCTATCTAACTTCTAAGGAATAGAAATTAAATACTGTTAATCCATAATAGGTACATATGTGGTCGTTTTATTGTGACCATACACAGAAGTTCAAAGGTGAGAATGCTACCTCAACCAGTTGCCCCACAAAGCCGAGTTTTGTCTTTCACAAGATGAAATC